CGAGGCGCCGCGCGGGAAAGCGGGGCCGCCTCACGTTAAAGGCGCCCAGCTCGGGGTTTTCCTGCTGCCGCGTCCCACGGGCGGCCCGGCCACCGCACGGACAGGAACGGGAGAGCGGGGGCGGGCAGGAGTTCATTAGGCAGCGACAGCACTCGCGCTAATTAACGGCCACGAGAGCCGGAGGCTGGGTTCGGCAGAACTCGGTTAGATTCGGCCGAGCTCATAAGGTTTGCGGTTCGGCCAAACTCGAGGCATTCGGTTGATCTCACTTCGGTTCGGCCGGCGTCGTAAGGTTGGCCTTGGTTCGGCTGAGCTCAGCTCGGTTCGGTTGAACGCGGCTCGTTTCGTCTGAACCCAGCTACGTTCGGATGTATTTAAACAAACTCGGCTAAACAAGACTGGGTTCGGTAAATCTCGGGCAGTTTCGGCTCTTCGGCTAAACTCGTCAATCATCGGATGCATTCGGCTATCATCGTCAGTTCGAGTAACCTCCGCAATTATCGGTAGACCTCGACCATTATCGGTTGTTCGGCTAATAGCGGCTATTACCGGCAGATGTCGCCACTCTTCGGGACAGCTCGGCTCGCTTCGGCCGAGCTCGGCTGCACTGAGCTCAGCTAGGCTACATGCGGCTGAGCCGGATTCGGCTCACAGATTCCCTGATGTCAGCCCCTAGGAATTCTGCTTGACAGAAAATGGAGCCGCTAAAGGGCTTGCGGGTTTTTAAAGAAATAGAATTTTTAACTCCAGTCTTGGTACAGAGCCGATGACTCCTTTAGGCCAAGAATATTTATATGTAGTAGCAATTCCCTCATTTTAATCTCATTTTTATTTAACCCCCCAAAAATTCAATACATATCACAAGGAATGTACAGTTCTGGTTTTCCCCTGTACAGTATTTGGACAAGGGATCTGGGCACAGCATGCAGTTGTGAGTCCACTGAAAAAATTCTGATTTACATGTCAAAAGCTCTCCTTCTGGCACTGCATGTTCACCTACCCTCTTGGCCACATTCGAGAACAATGTATCAGATTTCACAGGGAATTCCCAAGAAAACTCACCTATAATCAATGAGCAGAAAATCTTTTGGGGTTTATTCCCATCTCTCACCTGTTCCAAGTGGAGGGAAGATGGGCCTTTGTCGCACACTGTGGCAGCAGTGACGGATCAGGGTGCTTTTATTATTTTTGCATTAGAAAAATAAGGGTAATAAAAATAAACCAGGTGATATAAATGTCTTTAAAAGCCACTAAAGCTTTTTAAACTAAACCCAAGAAGACCATCATGATTTCCAAGTTCAGGCTCCTATTCATACTGGTTGTGGTATGATGAATGCAACCAGGCTCTTCAGGAAACAGTAAATCATCATGACCAAACCTCTTGTTATTTGCACTTACACCCCACTGGAGGAAGCTCTGCACCCTTTTTTTCCTATCCTGTATTGGCGTGAGGATGGGTACTAATGACACACACATGCACATACAGACTTTCTGGTTCTTCAAAAAGTTAAAAATGCCTGTAATGAAAACAACAGAAATAATACTGTGTTTCAGATTGTTCAAGAAAAGGGAACTGGGGCTTTAATGTCCCACTGAGAGATGTCGAATAAAATCTTCCTCCTGAGTTTGCACGCAGTAATAAAATACTGGTTTTTATGACCGAACAAGTTAAGTCTGTATGAGAACAGCTCAGGAGGCTTTCATGGCTCACAGTGATGATGGCAGAATGCAGAATGTTAAAGTGTTAGTTCCCCAAATTAATGCCCTGATGTAGCCAAATTTTTTTGCAAAGAGACATAATAGTTTCCTCTCCTTGTTTCTGAATTCCCAAGTCATCCTGTAATTCATAACCTGCATTAGTGCAGACCAATCTGACATGGGTAAGTAACATATCCGGCTCCTGTGCTCCAAGCCACATGTCCCCAATGTAAATGGAAGTCAGGAATACAGAAACAGCTGTGGAAGAAAGATGAGAGAAAAATCAGAACAGATATTCCTCTATTTCCACACAGCAATACCAAGCCAAGCTGTTTACCTCCAGGACTATGTTTTAAAATAGTTCCCCAGCTCTTTTCCTAGATGGAAAATCTGGAGTGCCTTTGCCCATACAAAGCCAGTGATCCTACTCACAAGAAGGAACAAACCAGTTTCCTGTTATATCTGGAAATCAGTTGGAATTCTGATCTGCCAGATGCTATCCTTGACCAGCAATAGGGGTTAGCAGCCAGGCCCATGTGGACTTGTTTTTTGCAGACTATTCTCCCTCTTGGAATTATATTTTTTTATACCTTTTGTTCCATTTTAGCCCTTGAAAGGGAAGTTTCTTAGAGGGAGTGTGAGTGTTGTAGTGTCAGAAAACCTCAGTGTGACCACGCTCTGTGCTGCCCACCCCTGCCCACATCCCACCAAAGACACAGCTTCTGTTTTGGGAAGCCATGAGCCTGGACGGATATGGAAAAACTAGTTAAATGGATTCAAGAAGTCCTGGAATTTCCTACTTCCTCCCACCACTGCCTCGTAACACGAGTGACAAGAACGAGACAAGCCACCTGTCTTGTCCGCATCCTCTTCTGTCGTTGCTGACAGGCACAGGGATTTCACAAGCTTGTGGAAGGTGCTGGACAGGCCCTGTTCCTCCATGAGCTGGAGCATGATGGAGCTGAGCACCCCGAGCTCCCTGGAGAGCCCAGCTGAGGTGCTGCTGGCCTGGCAGAGCCTGCTGTAAAGCTTGAAGAGGTTGTTCCTTGCTGTCTCATCCCTGAGCATCTCCTGCGTGGCTGCCAAGTGCGGTAGGACATGGTTCCGCAGCCACCTCAACGCTGGTGACACGTCCTGCTCCCTGAGGAGGCTCTGCCCAGCCAGGGACCTCAGCAGCCACTTTGTGACAACATGAGTGGATGCACAGGTGACAGCCACCGCCTCAGCCTCAGGTTCACCGGGTCTGAGGGTCTCCCCTTCTTGTGTGGAGGGTGGTGCCAGGAAAACAGGGTCCCAATGGGCAAGTATGGAATTCAGATGTTCTCTGCATTTCTCCAGCTCAGACACTTCCACATCTGCAGCATTGTCATCTTCCACCTCGTTCTTTTTCCCAGTGTGACGATACACATGAGATGAGGTTTGAGGTTTGTTCTTGTCTCTAATATTTTCTGTAAGAAGAAAACCACCACCAAGACAAAGGTCAGATACCCCAAAGGATTCTCCTGTTACAAAACTGTGCAAGTAAGGTGCTCTCCTGCCTTGATTCAGTTGTTACAATTGCAAGCACCAGCCTCCTTTGGCAGCCTCCCAGAGCCTGCCCTGTTCCGAGGGGCTCCTGGAGCTCCCAGGCACTCCAGGCTGGAACCCTATTCCAAACTGGATCACCCAGCCTGGAGATGGGAGAAGCTCCTGGAGCCTGGAGCACACAACCCACACAAGACAGTAAGTTCCAAAAACTCTCCTCATGTCTTTCTGAGGAGTTTGAAAGGGTGAGAAAAACATTAGAAAAGTTCCCCAAGTCCTGATCTTTTCCTTTCTTCAAAACTGATGACAAGAAAAATCAACTATTTAATTTTCACTTGCTTTATTTATTTTTTTTTTTTACTTACACATTGCTTCAGACCCCCATCCACACTCAGAATGATTCAAACCTTTGAGCACAAGCCTCCAGCACTTTTTCTTTTACAGTTTCATTAAAGAATACCATTTTTCAAAGCCTGATATGAGCTTTGCAACTAAGTTTCATTTTAAAGCTCTTTCCCTTTTTAAACTGTGTTTATCCAAAGCTTCCAAACTGTTAATGTTAGAAAAGTTAGAAATCACTTTCGGATTAGGCAAGGAAGATCTGAAAAACACCTTTCCATTTCCTTTCCTCCTCCCTGAAGCTGTACCAGTCTGACAGAAGGCATTAGTACTGTCTCCAGAGAAGTTTGCCTCACTTGTACTGTTAGTCTGTAACAGTTGCCACAAAAGATGCTTTCCTTGAAGTATTTTAGCACTTACTGAGCAATTCTTTGTTTTGGTACTTCTGAGCCAGGGCCTGCAGATCCTCCTGTAGCTGCAGGTCTTTGCTGAAAAGGCTCCACTTGTGCAGTAGCAGCAGCAGCTCCCTGCTGGAGAGGATGCTGTCGTTGACTGTGAAACGCCCCATCTCCCTAAAAGCCTCAACAACAACAGCACGGTATTCCAGCACGGAGCTGAGGGTACTGAAGAACTCAGTCAGCTTGGCCAGATCAACATTAGTCCTGTCAAAAGAAAACACAAGTGCCATGTATTTTCCTGCACACTAATTAATAAGTGCAGGTTTTAATCCTTACTTTCAGAACAGCCAGGAATTAAGGACTTGACAGCAACAGTACATCAAATTTTACTTTATTCCCCATGTATTCAAACACCTAAATACTCCTGTCAAAGAAATCTCATCCAAATTCACTACACAACACACAAACTGAAGGTGAAAAAAGGCATTTATCTGCCAGAGATAAAAAAGTCCTCCTGGTCTTAATAAAGTTCAAACTGGACAGAGGATGAAATGCAAACCCACTAAAGCAAAAAATAAAACAAAGGACTTACCTAATATGTTTGATTAATGTGACCAAAACATACAGAAATTCATTTACAAACTGAATAGGAAGAAGTTTCCTGTTCTGGGACTGATTCTTGTTTTCTCTCTTGTCTCCTAAATTTGTTAGCCACAGAGTATGGAGTAAAGAAATAATTCTGTTTATCACCTTGCTTTCCAGAAACCTGAAAAACAAAACAAAATAAACAAACAAAACAAAAATCAAACCAAACAAACAAACAAAAAGAAGAAATCCACATTTGGAAGGCAGATTCTCACCAGCAGCTCATCCACAGGGGACCATTATTTTAGGGCACTTCTGGTGCACTTGCCTGAACCTGTCAGGGCACTCTATGCAGAAGAGATTTTCTGTGTATGTGCTTAACATGTGAGGGAGAGGCAAGGGGAGGAGGCAGTCTGTTCCAGACAGCTCAGATCCATTACTGTGCCACTTCCTGTGCAGCAGGTCCTGTGACAGGATGTGAACTGAGGGGGCTTGAAATTTAAAAGGTAAAGACACCAAGGTACCATTTTGCTTTCTCAGTTTTTCAAGGAAATGTTTTCTAAATCCTTCCTACCACATCCTGAAAGGTTGATTCTGTTTTCAAAACCACGAGGGACCCCTCAGAGTTCAGCAAGTTCTGCCAGTACAGCTCTTGGTGCCCCCCTGTCTGTCACCCTTGCTTTCATACTCAGCCACACAATTATTCTACTATGGACAGTAAAATTGTTCCCATTTCTCCTGTACTTCTCTGGTTACCTTTTCTCTAAGCTGTGCAGGACCCACGTGAGGAGGCTGTGATCCTGTATCAGCTCATAGGCAGCTCTGGTGACACGAGCAGCACTTTGCAATATCTCCAGAATACGACTCTGAAACGGAAAACAGAACTTGTTCTTTTACAGTCAGGATCTAATTATCTAACACAGAATTAGCAACTTGACTGGTATCTGATCAACTTCAAGTTAAAATGCACACCATCTGTTCTCAACAGCTCCAGGAAAGGAAAGACATTCTCTGTTCAAAGCTTCATACCATAGGTGCTACTCTTATAAGAAGTCTTCAGGTAGCAGGACAATTTTATCTTTCTGTCCAAGGTTTTGATACCTGAAATACTCAGGGGTTGATGCTCACAAACCTGAGAGCTCCTGGCACGTGAGTTTCCCTCCTGCTGAAGCACCGCTCAGGTAACAAATGTGCTGCTTGGGGAATAGAGACCCTCCAAAAAAGAAAAGACCCTGACTGTAGGAGCAAAACCACAGTACCCACATGAGGCTCCATGATGGCAGGAACCTGGTCCAGTTTCAGGGGATTAGGATGTGACTGGTTTAGACAGAAGCAATTATTTCCCTCTCCACACATACACAACAAGGAACAGATTTTCAAGAGGGCAAAGGCAGAGTCAGCTGCTCCTTTCTGCTTTGTATTTGAGATCTCAAAGCTGTGCAAACATCTGTGGTTTGGGCTTTTTTTTTGTGCTTTCTTTTTAAATTCTTACCTGGGAGCCCTCATCACACAAAGGACTGTTGAAAAAGGAAAGAATGATCTGGAAAATCCTCTGGTAGTCATAAAGCTCATAGCAATGTCTGTCACGTAGCCCTTGCCCAAGAAATCTGAGGATCCACACACGCTCTGTTTTGTACTGGAAGCCACAAAGAAAAATACCACCATCAGACATTTAGACAGTTCCAAATATTACCTGCTCCTAAGAGCACAAAAGCCTGGTTCCTTGTGAGTGCCAGCTCAGGGCTTACCATAGCTTGTTCTGGACTTCTCAATTTCCACTCCTATCAAATTTAATCACTAACATCCACCAGGAACAGTCAGTTTGCAGCCCAAACATGCAGTGAAAAAGGAACTTTATAAGTTGCTGTTCCTAAAATACTTCAGTTGAACTCAATGTTACTAATCTAAGCTCAAAGATGAATGTAAGCAAGTTGGGGCAGAATATTCTGTTTATTGTGCTCAAAGAGCAAACACAGCACAACTCATTGTGTATTATGAAGAAACACATTAAGTATTAAGAAAACAACAAAAACCCCACAGAAAATAACATTTTTAATTCCAGCATGAAACAAAAGAAACATGCCTCTAATTAACCACCTCCAGGAGAATGAGATTTCATTGTATTTTTATTGCTTTTTTCTATACATTTCTGAAGAAGTAGTGGATACCTAAAATGGGACTCTTACCTCCAAATCAAAGCTGTAGAAAAGCTGGAAAAATCCTGGTACTTTCCTCAGGTCCAAATACTGGTGTGACAGAAGGAATCTGTTTACCTTTATGTACATGTGCTCCTCTGTGAAGAGAAAAAGCTGGCATTGTGGAAGAGGACAACATTCCCAATCCACAACCACGGACAAGAATAAATGGAAGCTGTACTGTGCAGTGTTCCAAGCTGGGAGAACAGCCCGAGAACTGCAGAAGGCCTTCGCTCTGAGGTTCATTATATTGCTGGCCATCCCGCCCATTCACTTCCCCAGAATGAAAAGCTCAGTCAAGAGTGCATGAGCACAAAGCAGGTGAGGAGATCAACATTCCCCAAGGCCCTGTTTTTCAACCCAGCAGTGACACACACAGGAAGTTCCAGTACCTGGCTTCAGGATCTGCTGTGCCACACGAGCGATGTAGAGGCTCAGGGAGAAGGTGAACCTGAGGTTTGGCTGCCCGATTCCATTCTGCACAGCATCCAAGAGATACAACAACTGCAAGAGCCCAGGGAGAGGAGCCTGAACCACAGCCCAAATGACCACAACAGGAGCATGAATACATAAATCAGCTTCTGGGCCATTTCATAGACCATACAGGTCAAATATCAATTCCACCAGGATTTCCATCCCTACAAGCAAAATTCCCAAGAATTTCTAAAACATATTTCCCACTTTCTCTGTCCACTGATTGTAACAGGAGGAAACACAAAGCAGTAAGGGAGAAACAATGGGAGGTAGGATAAAAAGCTTCTTTTAGCTCTCTCACAACATGCATGTAGGTGGATGCGCAAGGCACTATCTCTCCCACACATGCCTGTGACCTACAAGGTCTCACCTGCCAAACTGGCAATGGAGCTGAGTCTTACCTGGCTCTTCTCTCGAAAGTGAGCCCCTTCCAGATGGGAGCGGAAGGAAGCCAAGACAAAATACGCAGCTGCTCTCATGTTGGAGTCATAGCTGCTCAGGGCAGCCACTGTGAGACCCAGGGCATTGACTTCCACAAACTTGTGACATGCCACCACACACTCTGTGAGGGGAAAAGAAACAGAAAGCACCTGCTGCTTCTGGTGCAGCAGAACTCACACCTGCTGTGTGAGTTTAGCGATAATATTCATCTATTTTCTTGTCATTCACACTGAAGGTCAAGAGGAGGTTTCTAGAAACAAATATTCCTATTTAAGAAGGGACTGCAATCTTACTGCCAACTACCTATACTTGGTCCACTAATTTCCTCCCCTATGACTGCCCACGCAAAATTGTGTGTGTGTGTGTGTGTGTATATATAGTTATGTTTAAAAAATCACAGATTATTTCTGTCCCAGAGCCACCACTCTGCTCTCCTTCAGGCTGCAGCTCTGGGGAACTGCTGATGTGCACTAACCATTCACACTGTGGAGAAGTGCCACAGAATGAAATCCAAGGTTCTCACTTCAGCAGTCCACAGGAAGATTTATTTGGAAGACCTTTCTTCACTGAAAACATGCAGTGAACCTGGAGAGTGTGTTCAACAACTAACATAAAACAACAAGCTCTTATTAAAAAACATCCCAATTTAATTATATGTCTGACATACAGCTTGTTTAAAGGACCTTGAGAATCATGATGGAAAAGCTGATTCACAAGATGTGTATCAGAGCTATAGATAGAACTTGCTATCTGCCCAACCCCAGACCTTTTCCTCAGCAAGCATTAAACACCGTGCAAATCCATGTTTACGTGTTTTGATGGCACTGTGCAGTCAGGACAAAGAGCAAATAAATAAAGAACTGAGAATTCCAAGAGCAGCCAACATGGTTTACAAGCACCATGGGACCAGGATGTATAAATCACTTAGGCCCTTTAAAAACGCCCCTCTAAGGACACAGACTCTCACTCTGTGTGGAGAAGCAAAGAGGGCTATTTCCTCCTCTCCAGGTTCAGATTTAGGACAGCCACCATCTCTACAGCTCCACAAGAACATGATGTACAGCCATTCCCTCAGCCTTGGTGCTTCCCACATCAGCAGCCACTGACTGGCTGCAGTGCTGCTGGGGCTGCCACAGACACCAAATCCCTCCCTCCACGGGGTGGGTGGTGCTGGCAGAGTGTCCTTTTTCCAGCTATCAACACTAGGCTCCAAAGACACCAACTGTCCATGCTTTTCATCCCTGTGAACCTCAAAGGCCCAGCATTAACTGGATTGTCTAAGATCCCTCCAACTGCAAAATGCCAAGTAGTTCTGGTACCTTTTCTCCTCAGAGGACTTAAGGACAGCTCATTTCCTGCCACCAGGATTACACAGAGCAATTCAAACCATAGCTAAGGGCAGGCTAAGAACATTCAAACAGGTGCTGAACTTGCAGGGGTCTGGGTAAACAAAGGACTTGCGAGTGTGATTTCACTGACAGACACTAACAGCCTGCCAACTGCTTCTAACATTGCTGTGGAAAGCCAAATCTAGCTGTAACTACAGCTTAACCATGCTTAACCATGTGCTTAACCATAACCAATGCAGGGAGAGAGCTACTTAGGAAAGTCCTTAGGCTTCTTGTCTCCCTTTGACCTCTGAGGGCTCTCTCTATGGACAGTGTGTCCATGAAGCACAGCAGGGATGTGCACGTGCAAAGATGAGTCATGTCAGACAAGAAACTTGCTGATAATTCAGAGCACCAGCCTATTTGTGAAACACACTGGCCTCATGTCCAGCTCTCTGGTGGAAAATGAGTTGGCTGAAAAATGTTCTCCTGCTCTATAACCACAGCCTGTACCAGGCCAGATCTCCAACCAGTTCAGTAACACTTTTATTCAGCGTAAAAGTTAGGTACAAATTCCTTGCAGCATTAGCCCTTGGATCAGGAATACCAGAGCTCCAGGTGCAGCTCCTGCAGCAGAGCAACCTGACACTAAATACCAAAGAGAAACACTCATTTTACCTGGTCTGGTCAGTTCACTGAAGAGCTGAAGTAGAAAACAAGGATCATAGAAGTCGTCAAGGCTCTTGACTGATTCATCTTTATATAGTGACTCTTGTATCCCCTGAAACCAAATCCAAACCAGTATTTGTATGAAACAACACCAATTTCAAGCTTGGTTTCAATTTCCACAACCACCTCACCCCACTATAAACCATTTGATACTACACATGTAAAATATGACGCAACGCAGGGCGAGACATGCTTGTGCTTAAACCCAGCTTTCACTATGAGAGTATATCAACAACCAGCTCCCCTGACCAACAGCTACAGAAGCAAGTCAGCAAAGTGTAAGAAAGACTGGAAAGCCCATTGCCAGTGGATCCTTAGGCTGTCCAATCCTGGTCTCACATACGTGACAACCTCTGCAATGCACAATCACCCCTGCTGACAAGATGTGGCCCGTATCTTGCAATTAATTTGGGAAGGGCTCCTAAAGAACTAATTCCAGCCTTCCTATAAATTGAAATGACTCTCCTGATGGAAACAAACTGCAGTGTATTACATGGACGCAATAAATGAATGGCTCAAGGCTCTTTCTGCATATCCAAAGAAAGGTAACCAGGGACAGGCTAAACCAAAAGCACCTCTGATGGCAGCAGTCGGCGATGCTGAGGGAACGACAGAATCGTTTTCATCATCTTCTCTCGATCCAGCAGACACAGAATCTCCTCCATGCTTGGCTGCTGCCACAGGGACTTCCCCAGACTCTTGCAAGTCTTGTGATGCTCCACAGCAGCTGGACCCCACAGCAAGATCCTTAAACATTGTTAAAGGTAAAAGCATTAGGCAACAGAGCCAAAAGCAATTACAGAGGAGATGAATCAGTACTGAAGTTTTGCCTTCACTTGCAGTTATTACCCTGTGGGACTTGAAACTAGAACTCATTTCCCTGGCAACACCTTTTCCATCCATTGCAAAGCTTTTCAAATTTAGTCTGAGGGATTTAGTCTGAAGGTATCTCATTCACCCAGAGAGAGAGAGACTCTGCTCTTCCCCATCCATCCAAGTCAGAATGTACTCATTTAGAGGCACTTATGGATTTAACCTGTAAGTGCAGGTAAGAATGACAGCAGCTGCATGACAGGGGTCCAGACCTAACTCAGCTGTCTGAGCCAGTGCTCTTGCACTGCTGGTGGTATTTCTGCTCCTACCTCCAGGACAGAAAAAAGCTCGGGAGCAAGGCAGACCGACCCACAACTGTTGGCAACAGACTTTCCTGTGCACTGCTTGGGCACAGGAAAGGGAAAAGTCCACTACTGACTTATGTTTCAGCCTCCCATCTGTGAAGAGACCCCTATCGCGAGTCCAAATGATGGAGAGTGAGTGACTCCCAAAATGGAGTCACCCCATCTAACCCACAGAGACACAGAGGTCTGGGCAGCGTAAGAGAATTACATTAAGAATAGGCAATCCATAGTAAAAATGTTTACAAAAGCAACATTCACCTTTAGGTTTGACATTGTTCATTGTTTCCTTCATTTCAAAATAAGACCCTGGAAAAATACCAGTTGTTGAGACTGTTGTGTAGTTTGCCCAACAAAGTAAGGTGTTCAGCTTACCTGGAGTTTATAAGACTTTGATTATTCTTCTCATACAACTGAAGCAACAGCAGTATCTTCTGATCTAAAACCCAAGATTGAACGCACAGTTAGTGACCTGTGGAGACAAGAACAAGATGCAGAAGAAAGTGCCTTTGCCAGGCTGACACTCACCCACGGTGCTCAGTGTGGCCCCATAGGCTCCCAGCAGCACTGGGAGGTGACTGCTCCCACAGAGAGAGGGGCTGAGCTGCACAGCTGTCAGCAGAATGTCCACCAGCGCCTCTGGAACAAACACAGTTTGAGCCCTGCAGCTCTGTCACACAGGGCACAAATTAACACCCCAAGACCCACTCCAAGTGGATACACACAGCACCAGACATTTTACATCAGCACCTATCTCCAGAGACACCACAGCCCACTTCCCCAATGCACTAAAGGGTGATTATGAAACATTTCATTCAAGGGAACACCTTAAAACAGTATTCCCAAGCTGAATGCACAAGTCACTCAGCCAGGTGAGGTCCCCAGTGTGGAACACACTACTCTGCAGAAGCTTTCCATGCTTACACACCTGCTCTCTGGTTAAAAAGGAGTGCTGTAGCCTATCTTGCCATAGCTCCACTCCTTCCTTCCCCAAGAGGGCATCTGGAATGCACTCAGGAGTTGCACAGAGAAAGGCAGACATGTCAGCAACCTCCCCAGGGACTTGAGAATTCACAGGAAAAACTTCTAAGTCTGCATCCCAGCTGCAGTAAATACCAAAATGCTTCAGCACTGTGTGTTCCAGCAGTGCTCAGCACTGCAGGTGGTTTGTGAGCCACAGTAACTCTCTCCTGTGGGGTACAAAAACTATCCACCTTTGCTCTGTAACTAACCGAGAAGGAGAAAATAGAAGTGCTTGGATTCCTCAAAAGCCAACAGGTTGTCTACAGCACACTCAAGACTCGACTCCAGATTTCTCTACTCTTAGTCTCTGAAAAGGCCTGGGCTTTGACCTTAGCTATGTGCAGGAATATAAAACGCATGTAAAAACTAAAGAGCTCCTAAAGTACCAACCTAAGTGAATGCACTCATGACACCAAGCTTCTGCAATACTGCAGCTGGTCTCAAAGAATTTATCCTGCTGACCTACAGAAACACACTCAAAAGGTAAGACACATACATACAGTAAGCAGCAAAATCTATTCTTTACTTTTAATTTCACTAAATTAGTGATTTCACAAGAGCTTTTTTTTCTCTTTTCAGGTGTTTTAAAACTCAAAAGCTCGTTTACATGTTGCTCATCAATAAATACAAAACTTGTTAGCAACATGCTGGCCTGAGAATTTCCCCCCCTTTTCTTACACAGTTCCTTCAATCACTGAATCTCAAACCCCTCTACACTGGAGAAAAGCTGAGGTCTGTGTAGATTAAATGTGTCTCAAGGTCAGGCAGGATTTCAGTTGCCAGTGAAGAAGATACAAAGCCAATCCTACACATGAACTAGCATCCAATTTATATTCCTTTGGAAGGGTATTCCTCATGAAAGATTGCAATATGAAATGCACATAATTTAAATTGTCATTTTTGATAAAACTTGCAAAATCAACTTTAAACCTCCTTTTTCAACCTATTTTAAAACAGGTTTAAACATCACATGACCTATGTGCTTCAGTAGTGATCTTACACTAACTGCCTTACAGAAACCAAATTAATCAATCCATGACTTCAACTGGGTTAAAAATACCAGAAAAACAAACACAACCCCAAACCAAAATAAAAACCCAGACCCATCTTTCCAGTTGTTTTAAAAACAGAAGCGTTTCAAACCAGTATAAAATTATTGTAACATTTGGATCTAAGCACAGATACAATTTAAATGCCAATATTCTGGAACTGTTACCACTGTTAATAACTCTGCAAATATGAGTGGGTGGGTGTTACTGGATAGAGAGAATACAATGCAAGAAAGACAAGATTAACTGTATCTAGTATGGGAAAAAGATGACTAAAAAATACCTCTTGTCTGGATGTTCATGCCATCATCTTCTCTTGATCTCAGGATGTTTGACAGAAATAGAGAGTGCTGTGTGACCATCATGTGAAGTTTGGAGAGCTTGATTAAGCTCTCACTAAGTGAGGATTCTTTCTTGTACAATAACTGGATGGCAATGTTCAGGACCTTCAGAAATGTTTCATCTCTGTAACGGTACCTTTGGGAGAAGGATCACAGAGAAGTCAGATCCCAACCAAACCCAAGGAAACCTGCTTGAAATTAAAAGCTGTTTAAGAAATAAGAAATTTGCAAAGAAAATGAACTTAGTAAAAGCAAACCAAATTCAAATGGAAACACTTACTTGAGTCCTGTCTTGACAAGGCTGCACCAGTCATCTGGGTCTGCTCCTTCAACCAAACACTGTGTGCAGCAAGTAAAAACACTGGTTTACATTTGGCACATGGAGCTTCTACAGCAATTTTTGTTCACGGGACACACTAAGAACATGCAAGCCAAACACTCACATGGCATGATCAGAGGATAAGAGGGAAAAAAAGCTCTTGGATACAACAACCCTAACTTTTCATTCAAAGGAAAGTGCAAGTGTTTTGTTGGTCTGGGAGCAGGGGAACATATGGGCTGTATGGAATTAAAAAGCAAACTGGGCATAGGTTCCAAAAACTCAGTGGCTCGAAACTCCTCAAACTCCCAAAGTGCGGAAGGAATCACAACTTGACAAGTCAAAGCAAGAGACTGGGTACCAGGTATCTTGTGGGTTAGCTAAGCAAGCTTGGCACGTGGCACAAGGGATGGCTGGGTGTATGTGTTCCTTACAACTGATGTGCCCTGAGGAGCTGGGAACTACAACAAACCTTGGTCTGGAGAAGACTGACAGCTGAACACAGCAACAGTCCTGGGAATGCAGGTGCCAACCTCGCCAGGCTGGAAACATCGTCAGGATAGGATGCACACTGTGAGGTGGCCCCAGGGCCTGCAGAGACAGCCAGGTCCTACATGGGAGTCTCAGCAAAAGCCAGTGAGAGGGCAAAGACATTCAGTGCTCAGAGACCTTCAGTGTTATGTGTCACAGGGATCTGTGTTTAATGTACTCAAACCAAGGGAACAGTACAGAGGGAGTGATCAAGTAGTGTTCTTCAAGATCAAAGTCTGGATTTCTATTTATGATCAACCACATTTTTGCCCCAGACTTCAGATGGCATGGCAGGTGGGTCTTGGCAGAAGTATCTCTTATCACCATTTTTTAATTAAAAAAAAAAAATAAAAAAAATCCACTGATAACCTTTGATTTCTTACTCCTAAATACCTCAAACTCCTATCTTCAAAGGGAATTCTTACCAGAAAGTCATCATCAAGAACATAAAACTGCTTCATATAAAGCATTATCAGGACCAAGTTAACTCTGCAAAAGCTATTAAAGATTCCATAAAACAGGAAATCAAGCCCAATCTATATTTACAAAATCTCCTGCTGCCCAATCATGCATATACATATAGTCTCACTGTGGCAAAGCAGGTAAGAAGTCTCACCAATAATTCCTCTAGCCTCAGCAGCATGGATCTCTCCACTTCTTGCTTGCTTTCATCTTTATTGCTGCTGTACATGGAAACTAACCCCTTCATGCAGGCTGACAAGAGACATCTTCTCCAGGAATGCAGCTCCTCCGAGTTTTCCAGCACTCTGGATATGGCATCTGCCAAGGCCCAACTGCAGAGAGATAGTTATTGATTTCTTTATTGCTATTGTCACTTGTTTTTGAATATGTTAAAGATGTCTTGCTGACAAAGTGCAAAGCAACGCATCCTCTCAGGAGAGGGTGCTGTTACTACTCCCATTCCTATCCCACAACTTCCCAGGACAAACTGAGCCCTGAGGGAGGTGCACACACACTGCTCACCTCTCTTCATTCCCTGCTCTCTCCAGAGCAGCAGGAAGCTGGTCCATTAGGTTGTGCAGCCCTTTGCTTTCTGAAGGTGGCAACAACTTGGAAAGAATTTGCAGTTTCACAGCAGCCTCGTGTGACACTCCGGTGTCCTGAATCCCAGTGCAGAGCTCCTTCCACAGGGCTTTCCTCAAGACAGGTGTGACAGCTGATACAACTGTTGGCAGAGCAGAGGGCACAGTTTCCACCACCTGCAGGTGTTAAACAACACCACACTAATCCCAAATCACTTTCTAATCCAGGCCCAAATGACTCTGTTTCTAGGATATGGTGCTACAGCAGCTGCTCATCTGTTACAGAGAAGTGCTACAGAAAGGCTCGCTTCTTTACCCACCCTCTACTTCCCAGGGTGCTGACAAGGTCTTCTCTTACTGCTTGACCTTGTAGGTAGAGCTACAGCCCCAGTCAGCCTGTGTCCTCTGCTATTTACATGTCTGGGCAATAAGAGAAATGAAATTAAAGTGATCCTGTTCTATCCAGTTGAATCCTAACTCATCGTTTTGCTGGTAGAGAATTTAATGCATTTGTCCATACATGTAACGCTGCTGTGGGCTTGGAAAGTTCTGGACTGCCATCTTAGGAGGCATTACTGTGAGCCAGCCCACAGCTGGAGGTTTGTTTTAGAAGAAATTTTTGGACTCTGTGAAAGCGAAAGCTCAGATTCTGCAAAAACCATCTGGCTGTGGCATTGCACACTCCAGACACTTCTACCTATATGTGCCCAAGAAAAAGATTTTACCTCCTGGACTAAACCAAGAGAAGCACAATGACAGATTTTCACATGCACTAAGCATTAAAAAGAGCTTCCAAAGAGAAATCTGGGCAGCAGTAATTGTAAGAGCAGTTCAGTCTAACAGCTGGCTTCAGTCTAACAGCCAAGCCTCAGAACAGCTCTTCACCTTTAGTGCTGCAGAGGTACTTTTAAGACAGTCATTATAAGTCAGACATCTAAGTTTTATCACCCTTATCTATTGTGTGAAGATTCCAAGACCTTAAGGCCAGCAGACCCTGAACAGGGAATTAGGCCTCCTGAATCACAAGCAGGGCTCAACAGTGCCTTTACCTGTGGCAGGTCGGCTGAAACCATACTGGTCTCTGCACTGCAAATACACATTAACGAGTGGAAGAAAGCTCTCCATGTGTTTCCTGAGGTACTTCCCAGTGGCACTGCTCAGACACCAGAGCTCAAACTGCAGCAGGTGAGTCCTGGAGTGCTGGATCAGCATGGCCACAATGGCCAGGGAGGTGTGTGAGCACTGGGCAAGGCAGTGAGCCTGCACCTCGACACCAACTGTGAGAGCAAGGACTGGCTCACTTTGGAGAGCCTGAAGGAAAACTTTCTCCAAATCTTTGCTGGCTGATGCTGACATCAATATCCCCAAAGCTTTCATGTGTTCTCTGGATAGCAGGAGCTCTCCTTGCTGGGGATGCCTTTGATAGCTGTCTGTAAGGAGCTGCACCAAAATTTGTCCATAGAAGCTTAACTGTTTCTCTTTTTTAGGGGAGTTCTCAGTTTTCTGAGCAGTCAAGCTCATCTCAGGAAGTTGCAGCATGGTTAAAGTGATCTCCTTCAGCTGAGCTGAAGTCATGTACATGTGCAGCTCCTCCACAGCCTGCAGCTGGTGAGACTTCCTGGGAAAGACCTGGCTTCTGTCCTTCCCCACAGTCTCCAGTTCTTCCAGGACACTTTTGGTGATAGTTTCAAAATACTTGGACAACACGTGTCTGTGATCCCTTGCGATGCTCTGCAGGATGGGGGCACCTGTTTTCAGCAGCTGGAGCACCCCGGAATTGAGGTGAGCTGACAGAAGCTTCACAGTGACAGGGTTCAAACCAGGCTGAGGAATACAGCGCAGTTCCAAGGCCAGGAACCAGCTCTCCAGTGTAGGATGTCTGAAAATCAAGGTGAATGCATCCTCCAGTGTCTGTAACAAACAGAAGTAACGGTATCACTGAACAGATAATCACAATGCAGGGTCAAAAGTAAACTCATTAATCTGACTATTTTCCACAGCTTGTCAATTACAATTATAGAATATGAAATTGTCTATTAGCTAGCCAGAGGATAAAAAATATTAATGACTTACAAGCACATCAACATCTTTCTCCCAACATTTATCCTGTGGGATTTATGCTGTTATACTGAACATTCTAGACATGTCTCAGCTCATCTCCAGAGGAAAACTGAATGTTCTGGGGTTCATCAACACATTCTAATCTCCACAACGTCACAGAACAGATGAAAGAGGGGGAAAAATTCACTCCTCAACTACTTAATCTTTACAACAAGGCTTTACACAGGGCTGAAGGAATACATTTCTTTCTGCAAAGGTGATCTCTTTCAGACCTCTCATGACTGTGTTCCAGCTCAGGGGGAGAGACTGCAGGTGCTGTAGCTGGGTCGCATCTCCAGACAGTAGTTTTGCAACTGCTGGACCACATGCTCTATGTTCCTAAGCTCTCCTCCAAGACCTTAACAGCACCTCTCTGTTCAGCAAAACTTCTCCCTAGAGAATCAATCAAATTCAATTTTATCAACAGGTGCCTCTGTATCAAGGGATTTGGTACCTTGTCATCTGAAGACGCTTCTTTCATCAGAGACTCCACATCCACAAAGAGATCCGACTCAGCCTGATGATCTTCTCGTTTCTGCTGATGATCCAGCCTTATTTGATTACTCCGGCACAACAAGATGTTCAGCATGTCCACATAGAGGTCAACAAGTTGAGGACCCGAAGTTTTACCAAGCTATGAAAATAAAGACATCTTGGAAGCGAAAGAAAGAGGAGGATGGGAGCAGAAGGGTAATTATCCAACAGGAAGAGGACTTAACTAAGAACTACTTAGATTACAACCTCTTCTAGGGGAAGGAACCGCTTCCCTATGTAGGAACCTGATTTCAAGAGAAGTCACAGGCTGCCAAATAAATATTGATAGATTTTCATTTATACTGGGACATTTGGAGTTACACAGGCCAGTGAATTTCACTCTCTGGAAAGGCTTCTTAGGAAGATCCAGGAGCTAGATTAGAATTTCAAATTTATTTGCACTCACAGCTATCAGTAAGGTAACCCATGCAAAGTAAATCCAAGACTCCTCAATAATCAGAAGAACTGACATTTGTTTACAAATTAGGTGCAGTTTTGTACAGTGCTGTGTAGCCTCAGCCAAATACAGAAAAAAGAGCTGGTACCTAAGTTTGAACAGCCAAGTCATTTGCACCTTCTACATTAAGATAAACAGAATATAACCATAATATTATTACAATATTGCTCTTACACTGCTGAAGTTCTCCACCGTGGATTTCAGGTATAGTAGCACCTGCTTTACTCCCAACACAAGCTGGTCAGGTGGGAGCCGGGAAGCGAAGTCTCTTAATTTTGTCTGAACACCATCTTCCAGTAAGGTACTGCCTCCTCTCTCATAGGCTCTCTTTAGCAAAGTAGCAAATACAGAATCCAGTGTCACCATAGGTTCTTCACTTACCTCCTTGTGGTTTTTAAACTGTTTAAAGCGGAAAAAAAGCAAAACAGAAAACCCATAATGAGTACGAAATAAAAATCTCTTCAGCCACCTTTGTTTTGAGATGAGCTGAGCTGAACTGGGGCCAAAGCTCCAGGAGCACAAGTGTGCAGTCCTGCTAGAACTGAGCTGTCCAGCAGTGTCCCTGGGGCAATCTGTAGAGTTCACTGCTGGCCTTGCAGAAAAAGTCACCAAACCCAGCCCAGGGGGCCTGTGATCCCCAACCCACCTGGGGGAACTCCAGGCACTGTGAACTGAGGCCACAGCATGCACCAGGCTCAGCTGTGCCTGGTGAGAAGTCTGTGTACCCTGAGCCCTGGTATCACCTCCCAAGCACCACAAAGATCTTGTGTCGTCAAAGAAAAGCCCTGGAGCAAATTTGCCTCCCAGTGTGTTCAACAAGAAATATACAATTAGCTCAATAAAAATGCTTTTTCTGATGGAAATGTAACCTCTATAAACTGTGAGGTTTTTATAGGAATACTGGCTCAAGAATTCAGTGACTTCAGGCATTCCATACCACAGCTTCCTGAGATTGCTTGGGTATCCAGAGTTTATAGTATCGGTTAAACCAGTAGAGCTGAGGATACTCAGCAACTTGCAGGGACTTGAGATCCTTATCATAGAGCTGGAACATCAAGCAGAGAGCAAGGGGTTCTCTCTGAGAGTGCAGAAGATCAGTGAAAACAGGAACAAGGTACTCCACGATGTGTGCTCCTAGAAAAGCAAAAATAAATTGAACTGTTGCCATGAGCAGACACTGGGGCAACCCTCCTTAACTTTGGGCCTTGGCAGCAGCCCACAGAGCATCACTCAGAAAAGTACTGAATAAGATCAAAGTGTTTGTAGTGACCTACACAAGTGTTCCTGACCACTGAGGTACATGAAAAATCCTCCACACGCTAGTACTTGCTGAAGTCAATAACCCACCTTCACTGTGCTGCGCTAGACATGCCTGCACTTTAACAGGAGAAGAGCCCTGCCAAGCACCACCTCAGAGAAGAACTGATTTGTACTGGGGGGCACACATCCCGGTTAATGTGTACAAGTTAAATTGAATTTTCTTTTAGAACTGTGACTTTCAGTCCACCCCACGTGCTACTCAATCACCAAATACACACAGAGGACTTAGTGAGGTGCTGTGGGGTTGGAAAATCCTGCTCCAAGCCCACCTGATTCCCCTGCGACTCCAACACTTTCCTCGAGGAGATGGCAGAACTTTCTAATACTTGACATCAGAGCTTCATTCCTGAAGAAGTTTTCTTTGGAAAATGCATCCATTTCCTACTTAACAGTGCAGGTCTCTCTCCCTCATCTTGGGAGAAGCTGCCTACAGCCATGGAAACCACTTCTGATCTCCACACTATGCCCTTAAAACACTGTGTTACTGAAACCAACTACTTCCAGACCAAGATTGTTCATGCAGGGACGGTGTATCTTCTCTTTAGGGTCAGGGAAAAAGGGCAGAAGCACCTACAGAGCTTCAATGCCTCTCTTGAGCGGGAAACACCATGGATCTACACTTCCTTCTGCTTGCAGAGAAGATAATAAAATGTCTCAAGGTAAAAAATTATAAATGGTAAAAAATTATTAAAAATGGGTAAAAATGATGCCACTTTCACTCCACTGGTAGAAACAACACATAAAACCAAAAAAATCTGTACCTGTTCCATTTTCAGACTGAAGCAACAGTATATTCCTGGCTTCTAACGCAGCAGGGACAACAGCACTGAAGGGAAATGTTTGGATGATCATGTCCTCATTTAAAGAGAGCCCAATTTCTTCATCTAAGCCGTTACTACCCTCGATCAGGACATCCACCATATCCAGGACATCTAATAAGTGAAGAAAAAAATCTAAGCAGAGGATCCAGACTAACTGGAAAAACAACAGAGTTAGAATACAACACTCCAGGAATACAAGGCATCTTTTTAATTCCTCAAAAAATAATCACTAAAAGGACGAAAGCCACATTTGTCACACAATACAATGCTAACACAACATCAAAATCACAGCTGAACTTCACTCTGCCTTTAAATGCTGCTGTCCAGCACACGGTGCTCAGAGAAGCTGTGGCTGCCCCTGGATCCCTGCAAGTGTCCAAAGACAGTCTGGACAGGGCTTGGAGCACTCTGGGCTACTGAAAGGTGTCCCTGCTCAGGACAGGGGTGGAACTGGATGAGCTTTAAGGTGCTTTCCCATCCAAACCATTCTGGGATTCCATGGTTCTGTGAACAGCCCCAGGCAGAAAGACTACATTTCCATTTTAGTTTGAAAATGCTGCTGCAAGATCATCAAGACAGATTTCAAATACTGTTAAAGTGGCACAACCACATCAGAAATTACTTCTGGTGATGAAGTGGTAACTGCAATTCTGACTTCTGATACCAAGTACATGTGGAAGGCTAAATCCTGGAGGTTCTTACTTAACAGGATTTCTACAGTTTTCCATCCCCAGTTTGCTCATTAGGGCTAGAATATGTAGCCCCACGTCATGGAATTCTGTTGCTGAGGGGTTACCACATACCATCTATGTGAGAGACAGGGATGCTGATGTTATCAGAGTCCTGTTTAAACATAGCGACCTGGAGCACGCTGGCTTCCTGAAGCAGATCTGCTGCCTTGTCAGTGTAGGGATAGGGGTTTGTCACCAGCTTCAGCAGGATCTGTCAGCAAAGGTGGAGAGAAAGGTAAGTGCACTGGCTGTCAAGGGTAGGGGAACCATATGTTGTTAAGACCATGTGCTAAAAGTGGTTGGAAGTTGGGCAGGTTTTAGGAGGACAACTTCCATATCGCTTCTGCAGGATTCTGTCTATGGTTCCTGCTCTACAGAGGACACTGATGGGGAAAAAAAAAAATGTCCACTGCAATTTGGCATCTAGATTGCTACCATAGACTGAGTCCCTAGGGAGACCACACTGGAAATGAAGCACTGGGCATTCAACATCCTGAAGAGTAAACAGGAAGTGTCAGCTTTCCTTGTTAAAGATCGAAGTTTACTGAGGTCTGATAACTTTGGCACCTAAAGAGGAGATAAAAGCTACCCCCACATACAACATTCTACCCTTATACCAACAATGCTGTAGTAACAACTGATCTTTTTGATGTCCTCCCATTCAAGACAAGAACGATGCCATCTCTGTATAAAGAATCCCAAACAAGGCTTTTCTCAGAATTCATTCACTGGTCCTTGACAGGTTTCTCAACAATAGCAACAAAATCTCTAGTTTCCACTAGCACTATTCTTTACATTGTTTATCCAGCTAATTTGAACACTGTTACCCTTTCCAAAAACCGAATCACTGCTTCCTTTTGGTCTTCTTTTGTATTATCCAAGTGTTCCAGCCAAACTGAAAGTTCCTTCCATGTGTACTCAAACACTCCACTGTCACGTAAAACCTGTCCAGGAAACAAAGGGTAAATAAACCTCAAAACACCTTAGATACAAAATCCCAAGAGATACAGATCTTTTTGTATAGTATCTTCATGATTTCTTCTTCTGGGAAAGAAAAGAAGAGCAGGTAGATGAAGAGAAGTATCTGTCACCCTCCTTACCCCCTCAGTTCAAGAGGCCTTATTCCCACCCACTAGCAGGACTCCAACTGCATAGTGGACAATGAAAATCTTACTTCTATAATTTCTGGAAAGCAAGTTATACTGCTTTCAGAGGGTTGTACATCTTTGTATCATCACAGGCAGAAAAAAACAAAGTGCTTTAAAAATAGCCTGGAGGGGAGTTTTAGAAAACTACTGATCTAACATAAAAGACTTAGCTTGTATTACTAAGTTAAACCTAAATCAGGCTACTTGTAATTAAAACAATTAGGCAGATGGATAAACAGTCACATAAATGAGCAGTGGGTTGTGACCACAGAAAAGTCCAGAGATAAGTGCAAGTTGCTGGGGGCAGTGAGGTAGACCCAGATATACCACGAACAAAGAGACAGGCTTTGACATATCTAGAAATTTCCCCCCACTTTCCTGCTCTCTAAATTCAGGCCCTGACCTCAGGCACCCAAACTAGGAACTTGGTGCTCCAGCTCTAAGCAAGAAAAGAGGAAGGAGAAGAGGAAGGAATTGGAATGACACCATGGGTAAACTCCCTGCCCCTAACTCAACAAGAGAGGAAACCTTGCCCAGCTTCCTGACTGGCACCTACATTAAACGACTGCAATTACACAGGATGAATCTGTGCCTTTGCTCCTCTCTACACATAAAATGAAGCTATCTCAACTCATTTGTTCTGTGTTTACTCTGTGTATAACACCAGCAACTCTAAAAATAACTGCTGCTTACATGAATCTGACAGGGGAATTAATTTAAATAAAAATAAAGAAAAAGGATTTATTTTAATATAACTGACTACTTTTGGCAGAGTCTTGAAGTAGAAATGCAGCTCTCACAAAAAACAGGCAGGAACAGAATGTCAAATCCAAAAACAAGCCTTCAGTTACACGGCACTGTGTAGAAAAAGAAGTCCTTACCATCTATTTTTAGCAGCCTTTTGCTGACATAAGTGCCCTAACTTCCCTGTTCCTGCATTCCCTTCAGAGAAAGTGCAATGGACTGAAGTGCAAAGTGGACACAAGAACAAGTCAGGCAGTCCATGTTCCCACTTGGCAAAAGAAATCCAAAACCAGCAGAAAAACGGCACAATTTGAGCAGCTTTTGGTTGAGACATTCATTACTGGGAGACCAAGTGAACCTGCCTTTAATCCCTTGCAAGGATCAAGGGCAACTAAACCCTAATTCAATCACTGTAATTTTGGTCTGGTGGGCTGAATATTACCATAGCACTCTGTGATTGGACCTAAATGCAAAAATTCAATGCACAAAGCTGGGAACAAACTTGTGTGCCATGAAGACTGCAGGACATGGCATAAGGAGCCCTATCCAGGGCCAGCAGAGCTTCCTGGATTTTCCCTTGGCAGGACAGTTTGGTTGTATTTATCATTAATGTAAATCTCTACCCTACTTAGATAACTAAGAGATGTCTTCTTTTTATAAAATGCTAAAAACAACAGCCTCTGGTGTCTTGTGGACTTGGAGTTGACCAGTTTTTCAGAGAAGTTAAATAACTAATTTAAATGTACAGAAGGGGATTTTAATGAATTTTTTAAGACAAAAAGTACTCCTTGCATCAAAGCTTGCATCAGACAGTAACACAAAGAACCATTCTGCAGGGCCAGAGCAAACCAGCAAAGGCTTACGCAAGGCTGGAGTGCTGAAGTACACATTAAACAATGATAAAAAATAAAAATCAAAAGTAATATCTTCTTGATCAATGTCAAGACCTTTGCAGGCACAAACTACATTGATTTATTACAGTGTCAGAATTAATTCAGCCTTGGGGTGTGTGCAAACATTAAAGACATTTTCCTTACTCTTTCATCAACTGCTGCAGGAAAGTCAGTTCACATCATTTACTGCCATAAAATATTTAGTTAATGGCCAGTTATCTGACAGCAAATTTCAACAGTCACAGGAAACAGGAAAGGAGACTCTGTTGACCACACAACCATGCAGTAAAGGCATCTGGTTTAAGAAAAAATTTTACAATCCTGAAATTTCAGACCAGTGGGATATTGTGAATATCCTGATACTTCAATTCAAATGCTTACCTTGATGATTAATTTTTTGGTGGAAATCTTCAGATGAGAATGGGTACTTGTAACAAACATTTTCATCAGTAAATAGAAGACTGATTTTTCACCACGAATCTTCTCTGTCTCAGAGATGTCCTACAAGAAAAATATATTAAAATTTCTCTGCTACCGCAACACTGTACAGGACTATGTTGCACTGAGACTCATATGTAAGGTAAGTATGCTATTTTATAGACCTGCCCAAAAAGGCCAGAAACGAATGGGATGATTTACACTGCTTTGCATTCAATGAGCCAGGATCATTGTACCCACCTGTAAAATGCTTTCCTGGAAAGTGAGCACTTTTCCTGGAAAACTAGTAAGAGAAACTCCAACTACTACAAGGACCCAAGACAAAGCCACCTCCCTCATCAATCATATTTTATTCCCCAATCATTCCACGTCTATCCCTGCTACCACACCCCATGGGCATCTCTGCTTCTCCTCAAAGCCAGGTCCACTCCTTTCTCCTGACATGACAAGTAAACTCTTGACAGTTCTTATTTTACAAGACTGCAGTAAAAAAGAGAGCTGAGGCCCTGATGGTTTCCACTAATTATGGAGAACATTAAAAAATGTTGGAATTTTCCTTGGTAAGGGGTGGGACAGATCCCATCAGTGGCTCATTTCCCTGATTTGCAACTTCAGGCTTTCCAGGCAAGTGGAAAACAGCACATTCTCACTTGTGCTCCTCTCCAGAGACACAAAGAGCTACAGGAACCTTCTATGTTCATCAGGGAGGCAAAAAATGTTGTCCTTGTAAAACACCTTTCAGCTCAAAAAGGATTTTTCACTATTGCTAAGACTGTAATTCCTGTTTGTTTTACAAAAGGGTCACCTCCTAAAATTCTGAAGTAATGTAAAACTAGGCCATGCCAAATGGAAATATTTGAGGACAACAGACCAAGGAAACATAAATTTGCATCAAGCCTCTTACCTGTATTCTGAACCAGGCAAATTTGTTTGCAGGAAGTTCCAAAGCCACTTTCAGGATATGGTGCTGCAGAAGAGGAGGGACCTCCTCCCGCAGGCCCTTTTCAGTGACTATGCCTGAGGTGTGAAAGCAAGAAACCAACTTCAGTTTGGTCCATCTTCCTGAGATCTCAAGACACTCATGTTTTAGGGTTTAAAACAACTGTGAGACAAGCTGGCAATTCACAGATCTTCGTATCATGGCATCCCCAGACACACTGCAACTAAGGTTGGTCTACCCAGAGGGAGATTCCATCACCTGACTCCAGCAGAAACCATTGGTCATGCATGGGAATATAAAATCTCTTTGATCAGTCTTAGCAACCCTGAAAAGCTGTAACCTACAGGCAGTACAAAGGATGGATAACTCAAAAGCAAAATACAGAATTTAAGTCAACAGGAAATCTTAATGCTTACACCACGACAATATTTGCTCCAGACAATGGAACTTCACACTCATGTCTCTCCCTGCATCACTGTTATCACCAGCTCAGACATAAACTCACTTATTCTGTCACAGGCAAGGAACTCTGGCAGCGCGACCAAAACTTGAGCTGCCCACACCTGACCCGCAGGTAAGTTACACGGAGACATCAGCTGCACAAAGCACTGGTGCCCGAGCTTCTCGAAGCCTGTGTAGGATCTTCGTGGTTCACATTAGAGAAAAAACATTACATTTTAAACAGTCAACACCAAGGCAATCCAACAGTTAGACCATACAATAAAACTCCACCACCTATTTAAAGAACATACTGCTACAAGTTAGAAAAACATGGTGCCTCTGGTGTCCAGGTTTCCATCAGGGTGATCAGAAGGAGCAACAGAACTCTCACACTGACACATCTGAGAAAACAAAGTCTTATGATTCTTTTACTCCATCATTATCTCTCTTCAAAATCAATACGCAGATTCATTTCATTACATTTGTTTGAGAATGACACTTTATTTTCCAGCCTGTTTGACTTTATTATTTCATAATGTACCCAACAGACCCACAAAGAGATTTCTGCCTCACAAAAACGTGTCCTGCCTTTTGTCCAGTTTAAAGTAAGCAGGCCAGTGAAAGAAATAAAGGGATAAACAGAGTTTATGTGATCTGGTGAGTCACCAAAAATTGATTAAACGTGCTTAGACAGATGGAGGAAAAACCTCATGCATGAGACAGTTGATTTAGAGAGGGATTTTGTTTAAAGTCCCTTTTTCTCCAACAGGTTAATTAAGGCATTTATGTAAGTCACATCCTTACACATCCCAGGCCCTGCCTAACACACAGATAGCTGCTCAAGCTGGGTGGTCCACAGAGAGCAGTGATGCCAAATCAACCCTTTGCTTTCTCCCTCAGTCTCAGCTGTACATGGCTGTATCAATTGTACAAGCACTACTGAAGGACCTTCCCAAATTTGTCAGGCATGATTTGCCCTTAGTGAAGTCATGTTGGTTGTCACCAACCACCTCTGTATTTTCCACATTCCTTAGCAGTTTCTAGGAGAATCTACTCCGTGATCTTGCCCAGCACAGAAGTGAGACTGACTCGTCTGTAGCTCCTTGGATCTTCCATTTTCTCCTTTCTAAAAATGAGGGCTGTGTATCCAGTGGGAACTTAACCAGACTGCCACAAATTCCCAAGTACGATGGGTAGTGGATTAACCGCTTCCTCTGTCAGTTCCCTCAGGGCCTGTGGACGTATCTAATCAGATCCCATGGACCTGAACACATTCAGGTTCCTAAGCTTGGATTGAAGCTGATCCTCTCTGACAGTGGGCTCAGGATCTTCAGTCTCCCCGTCCTGGCATTTGCCTTTCTCAACATGGGAAGCTTGGCTAGAGAACTTGCCATTGAAGGCTGAGACACAGAAATCATTGTGAACCTCAGCCTTCCTCATGTCCAGGGTAGTCAGATTACCTGTTTCCTTCCAGAGAGGGCCCACATCATCCCTGGGCTTTCATTTGTTGGCAATATACCTATGGAAGCCCTTCCCATTGTCTCTGACATCCCTGGCCAGACTCAGCTCTAACTGAGCCTTAGCATACCAAACCCTATCCCTAGCTTCCCATACAACTCCCTTACATTCCCCCCTCCCAGGCCATCCCAGGCCACCTGTCCTCACTTCTACCTCCTCAAAGCATTTTTTTTTTTTCCCTGTGATTTTGCTCATCAGCTCCTTATCCATCCATGGAAACCTCCTGGCATTTTTTCTCCAATTTCTTCCTCTTCAGAACTTGCAGCTTGGAGGCAGTGGTCCTTGGATATCAGCCAGCATTCTAAGGCCTCTCTGCCCTCCAGGGCTCTGTCCTATTGGACTCTACCAAGGCCAAATCTCTATTACAAGATCCTTCAGAGGACACTGGCAGACTGGAAGGTGCTGCTCCTCACCCCCACCCCAAACTTGCTGTGAGCTATCCTGTTCAAAAAACTCTTTATTGTTGCAGCTAGTAAGAGTTTGGAAATAACTTACTGACAGTGGACTGTTGGTAGAGGGCTAGAAGAAACCTCATTAAGAGTTGGAGATAAGCCTTCCTCAGAAAAATTAGAGCTCAAAGCCCATGAAGGCCAAACACTTCCAAGAATATGACACACAGAGAGGAAGACTGGAGTACAGGTGAGTGTGGCAAAGCAGCTATGGAATTTAACAGTGCCAGAGCACTGCAGAAACAGCAACAATAAACACCAATACAATGGAGAAACTAAAATGGGCTACTTTTAGAAAACAGCTCTTTATCTCCACAGAAAAGCAAACATTCTTGTTTTCTGTGGACTTGGCAGACAGAGAAAACAGAGGAGGCAATACAAATACCCATCACATACCTTTCAGCAGCTTGCTGAAATCGAAGTTGCTCTGTGCTACCAAGTGGGGCACAACCTTCTGATAAAGACATATGACCTGAAGCAGTGCAGCTTTCAGAAGCAGTGTCTCAGCATCATCTGAACCAAAACAAATTGTTTCCATAATTAGTTTCTTCTTCCTTCATAGTAAGAGTGCAGTGTCACACCCTCCACTACCCAGCATGAGAATTAATAACTGTATTTCCAGCAGACTTACTTAGAAAATGACCTGCTATCTTCCCAACAAGATCACCCATAGAATTTCCAATTTCCTTCCCCAGCATTCCTATATACTTTAAAACTAAATCCACTTATTCAGTGCTTAGATTGATAGCTGCTGTTTCTAATTCAACTCAGAAGTGCTCACACGTATAAAACACAATCTGCACATCTGAATACTCATTGTAAGATTCCCACCAGTCCCGCTGATGCTTAATTTAAGGCTGAACAACAAGAAAAAGTGAAGGAAATTATATGCTGCTCATTTCTGGGGACACTACTTTTAGCTAATATCAGGTAGGCTTGGCTGGGGAAGTGCAGGAGACAGTACACTACAGTTTGTTTCAAATTTATTATTTCAGTTAAAAACTTCTTCCTTTCCCTCTCCCTTTTCAAAATCATACTTTCTCAGTGTAAGCTCTTGACAAAAGGCAGACAACAAATACATGTATGAAAGAAACACCAACAGCACTTAAGACAACTGTTTACTTCCTAGGAAAAGCCATCTCAAATTACAGTTATAACATGAGGAGGCATAAAGGCTACTACTTGTTATCCAGTCATTAATGAAAGGAAGCAAAATACACGGGCCAAAACATTTAACACCGGATTTTTTTCCTGTTAACTTGGTCTCCCTCAGGGAGTTAGGAAGAACTGGATGAATGCCATGGATGAATTTTGTTTGCCTGAGTCTCAGCTCCCATTAGAAAAGAATTCTCACGTGGCCACAATGCAAATAAAGCTGTAAAAGGTGAACTGGGAGTAAGTGACACAGCATTACCACCTCAGAATGATGAGGAACTACAGCTACAGTCCTACAGAAATTAGCTGCTCCACTGGCTTCCAAGCCTTGGACTGTCAGTGCCTACAACATTTTGCTGCCCAAAGGGAGGCACAGAAGGACGTCCACTGAAAAGCCTTTTGCTCTAGCAAGTCTCTCTGGTGAATATGCCCTGTGGAATGCTCTGTGGAATATGTTGCAGATTCAGCTCTAGCCTACAAGGAAAAATTCACAGGCCATTGGCCAAGATGCAGACAATTCTGAAACTTCCTGTTTTCAGAAATTTCAATTCTAAAACATGAAACATTCCTGCAATGGGACTGAGGAAGCAAGCCCTTCAGGAGGGACACTGGGTTTGAGAGAGGAAAACTGAAGGCTTCACTCCATTCCTCTCCCCCTCCTCCAATACTCATAACCCCACTCCTGTGTTACATCAATACAAGCATTTGTGTAGCCACAGTAACTAACTGCTAAAAAAAAAAATGACCTCTTGCTAAAAGAACTTGAACAAAAATCTCTCCAAACATTATTTTTCAGGTGTATCAGTGTACCTGTCAGTTTTATTTTGTGACTGCGAAACAACTGCTAGCATGGAAATGTCAAGGGCAGGAAGGCTTAGTTCAATAAGAGGAACAGCAGTGCCCTGTGCCTGAGAAGGAGCAGCCCCATTTACCACTACATCCTGAGGGCCACCCAAGCAGAGAACAGGTTGCCAGGGAAGGATCCAAAGGCCTCAGTGCCCTGGTCCCTGGAAGCTCCTCCTTCCCCTCATCTCAGAACTGGGGAGGCTGAACGAGGAGTGTTGTGCTCAGGCCTGGACTCCCCACAACACAGACACACTGGAGAGAGTCCAGCAAAGGCTCACAAAAAGAGTGAAGGGACTAGAACATCTCTCCTGTGAGAAGTGGTTGGGAGAGCTGGGACTTCTCAGACTGAAGAGAAGGCTTAGGGACATCTCAGCAATGCGTACGAACACCTGAAGTGGGAGGGCAAAGAGGATGGGGCCAGGCTCATCCCAGAAGCACTCCTGTGCCAGAAGGTGAAACACAGGAACACTCTGAGCCTCAGGAAACACTTTTAGACTATGAGGGTGATCAAGCACTCGCACAGGTTGCACAGAGAGATCCTTGGAAATGTTCAAAAGATGTGTGAACATGGACCTGGGTTACCAGCTTTAGACAGAGGTATCAGGCAAAATGACTTACAGAGACCACTTCCAACCTCACTCATTCTGTGATCCTGGGACAGCAAAGTCAGACTGCTTAACCTTCTAGTAGCAGTGGCAGCCTATATGTTAAACTGTGTTCTCAGGCAATTCTAACAGCCTGAAGAACTGAACAAAGCAAAGGTGAGTAGTAAATAAACAAGTGAGATCTGGATTCTGCTGAAATTAAGGGTGGGATGAGGGTTTCACAACACCCATTCCCAAAGAGACAAGAAGCTTTAACTTCACCTGCTTTACCTACCATGCTGCTCAGCAACTTTTGTCTTGGTCACTGACTTCACAGTGGAGACATCACCTTCCTTCTTCTCTGCTGGGCCGTCGTTGTGCTCTCTCTCTTGCTTCAGAAGGGACTGCCAGACAGCCACTATATTATTCATGTCTGGTAAAACCTAAAAGCAAAAAGGGTAAATTGTAACAGCTCTCCTTTTTAAGACAAAGCTCCTGTGAGAAATACATTCCCAAACACCAAACAGGGAGATTTGATGCTTTTCACAAAGGTTGGAATTGATCTTGTGTGCGATCAAGCACCGTACTTCCACTTCTGCAGAATGTAAGTACTGGAAAGAACATTTTATTGAAAAGATTTCCTGTGAAAAATTTGTTTGGTTCCTCTTCCTTATGGTATATTTTTAACTCAAGTGCTCTCCTGTCTAGTAACTGCTGAGTAACCTCTGCTGGCTACATTGACTTGAACCAGGAAGAGAACTTGCTTCCTGCTCTTGGAAGCCATTTGCAGCACACAGCCATTAGTGTTACAAATCTGTCTCACCACAGAATTTTATTTGCATTCCCACCGAACACAAATGGTTCCTACCTCACCATTTAATCCTCCCCCAGGATACCATCTCCTGGCTCCTGGGCTGCAATCACTTGAGGAGAAAGTACAGAGGAGAGGAGTTGTCTGCTGCCTGCAAAATGCCTCCTGTCAGCCCCCAATAGTTTCTTTCTACCTTGCTGACAGCTTCTCTGTAGAGCTGCACAAACTCCTGCATTGCTGGCAGCGTGTAGATTTGTGACCTTTGCCAGGTTTCCTCAGACAAACAGTGCTCAATGTTCCTCAGGGCTCTTCTCAGCACCATGGATACCAGTGACAGGATGCTGTGCTTCATGACTGTGCTGGGCAGCTAAAAGAAGAAGGTGAATTAATGACATTTCACCGATTCCTGTTATTCTTTGCACAGAATCTGTACTCCGAATCTGTGTTAAAATTTGTCAGTGAATTAATTCCTTTCTAGATCTTGGCTAGCAGTAAAGAATCCTTAGGTTTTCAGATTCCCAGCCTAAACCATTAGCGGACAGTAGCAGAACTGGTGCTTGTGAAGGCACCTGCAATCAATATTAGTGGTTTTAATTCATTTTCCAGTGCCTCCCCAAGCCAGAATGATGCTGGGGCAGACAATACAAAACACAAGTAATTAACCAACTTAAGGAATTTCTTGAATGATCACACACTAAAATCAAACAGTACTAACTGTGACAGAAAAGTCACTGAAATTCTGAAGTAATACTAATGCCATGAAATAATAATAATGCTCTTACCTTTAATCCTTGGCTGAACATCATTTTATTGCACACTGCAGGAACTGTTGTTACCATCACCATAGAAAGCAATCTGGGAAGAGGAATAAATTCTGAAGTCTTAAAAGAATTGGAGATTTCTGGTTGAGCCTCATAGATCTGAAAGAAAAATTTAAGTCCCATTGATACATTCCCAGAGATGGCTGCTTCTGGGGACCATTTTACAGGAGGATTTTGACTTTCCCAAAGTAATGACAATATTAAATGTCAATTTTCATGCAAAAATGCTACAGAGCATCCTCCAGACTCCTACTCAACTAAATGGACCCTCTGTATGCAACCAGCATCCCTGCTAAAGGCCATCCCCTTTCAAGAGATTCCAGATCCCCCTTGCCCATTTTAAGCTAAAAAAAGAGGCAGTGGAACATTCACAAAGGACAAAAGGTTTTTCTAGCTCAGCTTTGATGCTGCTGCATCTCAAAAAATACGTCACTGACTTGATGTTTTCCACTGTTTCTTACACCAATTCCTTCTTTCCCAGTTTAGTTTAAATGTTTATAGAGCCTCCTGCTCTCCAAGTATGGTTTTTTACCATCATCCGTACTCTTACCTTCTTGAGTAACTTTATGTTGTCCATCCAAGCAGACTTCACTCTAGGAACAAAGGAATAATGGGTCTCCTTGAAGTATCTAGTCAGTAAATCTGGGCATACTTTGAGAATATTCACCATGAGATCAGCAACCATTTCATCTTCTGTTGCAGTTTTTAAACCAAGCAGGAAGTGCAGAAGTACCAAATTTCCTCCCCTGTTGAAGACAAAAAAAAAAATTTTAAATAAGAAATCCTTATTTCAATACTTTATATGGAATGTGAACTCTGCAGCTTCTCTAACTGTTAACTGAAGGCAAGACCTCTCACCCTCCTGGCACAATTTCTGAGTTTATACTCAGAGAAGTAAGAAATTAATTTATCTCCACATTTTCTGCATGACTAACAGACAACTAATACCACACATTTCAGGGCAGACACAATAATTAGTGAGGTCTCTTTCGCTTCTAACAAAAAATCCGCATCAAATTCCAGCCGTCCAGTGACTTACTTGCCAGAAGTTCCAAGACTTGGATCATGGAATGTTATGCCGTGTTTCAGAGAGCAGCAGAGGTCCATTAAGAAACTATGCACAAGTTGTCGTACCATTGCTTTTCCCACCTCTTCAGAACCCTGAGCCAGCTATAAAAACCAAAAAGGAGTAAAAAAGTCATGTGAGATCTGGCATCACAGGTATCAACTACACTCTACATTTTATATGGCTCAGATTAAGAAGAGAAGCTTCAGGACTAGAAGATCCCTTCCAACCCAAGCCATTCTGTGATTCTATGGTTCCATTAACCTTCTAAATCTGGAACAACTCAAGATGCCTATGGGTGAGAAGACTTGACAACTGTCAAGGCTGGGAAAGCATGAATCATATGATTTACAGGTTCTGCCAGGAATTGTAAGAACTTAAAATTATTCAGAATTGAAATGCATGCTTATGAATGGGCTCAGAGACTTGCACAGCTCCAAGCAGACACCTATGAGAAACAGATCTCCTCCAAAAGGTGTTGACAGTATATCAGGGTCAGAGTGGCAGGGTCATAAGCATCTGGTAGAGGAATACAAGAGGACAGACACAAAGGTGAAAAATCTGTAGCCAAAACCCAGTGAGAAGAAGCAGAAATTTGGGGGTTCTTTTAAAATAGGCTCATTAGGTTCCTCTTTTTGATCTCATCAATCTCAGAGCAATTGCGAGGTGTTTCAAAAGCTGTGGGCTGAGAGATGAGGGGGAATAAAGGCAGCATGAGGACTAAGAGTAACAAAGACATAAATGACCAGACCTTTAAATCCTCAGAGCTGACATCAGTAATCCCATTCCAACAGTACAGTGAAGCGATGCGAAGCAACACGTCCGCAGTGAAAAAACGCACCTTCTGCGTTTTGCTGACATTTTTGTTATGAACCACCTGAAAATGAGAAAAAAGCAAACTCTTCTATTTATTGCAAGTTATCACAAAATCATGGCAAAATAGCAACACACTTCATTCTTCCAGTACACACAGACCTGGCTCTCCTCACCAGGGCAGAGGAAACATTCTGCCTGTCCTGCTAACACTTCTCTCACATGCTCCTGCTCCACTCTGACCCTACACCAACCTCTGCAAACCCTGCACAAGCTGGACAGGATAGATGTTCACGTTCAACTAAAGAGCGCACATCATGTTTACAGCATCACAGACTAGAACCATGGGAACCTGGGCATAGACATAGCAAAGCCTACTACAAATCAAGTTTGAATGAAACAGCAGAGGAAGTTTCTCAGAAGTTCTGCTGCGTTTTACTGCTGAGCAGTGTTTTAATTCTCATTTTTCTTGCTAAGGTGAAAGAGTTGTACAGTGTGCAGGGGTCCACCAACAATGTAACAGTTCATGATGTGGGATTCCCACATCGGAAAAGTTTCATTTGAAAAACAAAGTTTTAAGGAGGTTTCTTTTACATTTAAATGGTAGCTTCTTTATTCTCCTTCTTCTTTGTGATATTGCAACAGCAAAATAAAAGAATTAAAGTAGTTTTTTGGCTTTAATTGGCCAGTTGTGAAAAGCCCAAATCTGAGGCAGGCTCTTACGACTACACTCTAAATTTTACACTATTTTTTCTTCATTCTCTCAACTGTTCATCCAGTAGCTTATGCAACATTGCTACAGTAGTTCAGAACAGATATTAAAAAGTCATAGACACTGGAGCTAAAATAATTTTTAAAGAAATAAGATACAACTCAGGTGCAGCTGCTCTACAAGCAACAAGTGCATCCCATGGCAGAGGCTCAGAAGGTGACAGAGCACAGGAAAGGCAGCCACCACTGAACAAACTCTCATGACTTTCAGCCATTCCTGCTTCCCTTTTTTTTTCAATCCTGAGACAGTAACACAGCCAAGCTACCAACCTCTAACACATATTATCAGTCACAGACACTGCAGCACCACATTGTCAGCAGCCCTAAGAACTGAACATTGTGTGAGAAATCACCGCAGAACTGTTTCCAGCAGTGAGGAGAATAGAAAACATGAGACAACACAGTTTCAAGGGTGTATCATACCTTAGTTTTCAGTGTGGAAAGTAGAAGACTGACAGTAGAAACTCTGTCTTCCTTGATTTCAGAACGAAGAATATCTGGAATGAAATCTAAGAGAACATTTCAAATGTTAAGTCAAAATGTGAAACCTCTCTTCATCCTAAAATGTTTCAGGGAATTCATACCTATTCCTCTTCCATGTCATATTATTTATCTTGCTGTTATATTCCAGGATGAACCAAAAGACAGCAATCAGAGTTCAGAAGGATGATGCATCTGTGACTATGGTGATGAGCAAGTGATGCTGCCAAACTCACTCTCATCTTGATTGGCTAATTTGACAACTTGCTGATTAACACTGCTACAGCATCTGTCAACTTTATGCCCAACATTTTGGGCTCTAAAATGCCATACTAAAATTCAAGCAAATTCATATTCTGCCCATTGAAGCATGTGTAATTGTTTCACTGAGTGATTCTCAAAGGTCTGGAGGTTCCATCTCCAAGCACATGCATCATCTTTTGGTTCACCTGTGCATCCCAAAGTTAGACAACTTCAGTTTATAGAGAACTTGGGGCTCTTACAGGGGAATGACAGCCAGCTGTACTGGCTGGACCGCGGTGTGCAATCCCCAGCCTGAAAGAACTGAACAACTGCCAGCAACTAACGGAAATCAGCAGCCCCGGGTTAGCAGGAGCAGGAGAAGTAAATAATTACAGCTAGTTCTCAGTCCCCAGCCACAGGAGAAATGACCTGCTGCCAGCTAATGGCTTAAGGACTTCTTTTTAAATAGTATATCTAGATCCCTTCTGAATTCTCTCATAACTTTACCAAGGGTCACAATTCACAGGGCAGAAAGGCAACTGAATTATACCCTTTTCAAAAGAAAATTAACACAGCATATCCACTGTTACTATTTTATGAGAAAGACTGGAGACTATGAATTTTTTTTATCTTTAATGACTCTATATCCTCAAAGTTTTATATTAGACTTACTTTTTTTTTAGTCTGTGTTACCAAAGGCTTTCTACTTTTGCCAAGTTTTAGCAGACAGCATATTGTTCTCAAGCAGAAGAGGCTTATTTACTGTATTACCAAAGAAGTTTAAAGCTTTTCAGTTAATAAGATTAAAATACATATATTTTGCTTCTTATTAGTGCTCTCTACCTGGTTCACATTTTTAATCAGGTCATATTTATTATCACCTATAAATGACTGTGCCTTAAAAACCCAACAAGCAATTATGAAGTACCTTTTAATTCCAGCACCTGTGCCAAGATTGCATTGTCACCCGCAATGAGGAAAGACAGAGCAAACTGAATATAGGCCATGCGGACATCTGCTCTCCCCTGGAAATATAAAAATGTAAATATAGGAGAAAAAAATGTTGTTAGCACACAGATTGTACCCAACTGCAGAATCAATACTGCAACTGCTGATTATCCCTAAAAGTGCCATAAACAGGTAAATGAAGCAACTTCTTTAAACATGTTGCATGGAGCCATAGACATACATTTACATGAAACACATCCACAGTGTATTCAGCTAAAAAACTTCTTGCATTAAGCAGATCACTTTTACATAGAAAGGAAAATGTACTAGTTCACACACTTTCCAATTCTCAGTATATGAGACCAGGCCACAAATTTAAAGAAAAAGGAAACATTAACAGCAGTTTCATGCCAAACCCTGCATCACTGAACTTAAGACACCTTCCACTATCCCAGGTTGCTCCAAGCCCTATTCAACCTGCCCTTGGATGCTTCCAGGGATGGGGCAGTGACAGCTTTTCTGGGCAACCTGTGCTGGACAGCATCTCATCACCATCATGGCTAAGAATCTCCTCCCAATATCTAATGGAAATATACTCTCTTTCAAAAAAACTCACCCCTCGTCCTATCACTACATTCCCTGACAGAGTCCCACCAGGATTTACAATTTTTTTTTAAACTGCTGCGCAAAATTAAGCTGCTTGTAAAGAAGCCTGAAAGAAGATTCTGAATAGGCAAAAGATAAGGCAGCAAGGACTCATGAAAGGGTTGAAAGAAAAAATAAGGATAAACAAACAAGATTTTGCTGTAAGCTTTGGGCCTGGTATTTTTGCATTAAAAACTCACCTCTGATAGCCAGCTGTGACATAATTTTACTGAAAACTGTACAAGAGTAAGACTTTTAGATGCCTGTTTCCTTTTATCTTACACATTTAAGCAGCTTGTGGTCAAAAGACTACACCCAAGCATTTAAAATTAAAGGTGGAGGTACTCCAACAGACAACTCCTGCAGTGAGGTCAAAACCCATGGAATCTGACAATTCCAGAACTATAAAAGGTGGTTCCAGGGAAAAAAGGATGTGTTTGGTTTTTTACCTTCCACTTGATTGCTTTATAAAGAAAAAGTCTGAATTTTCATCTCAGATAACACAAACCCAACACAAATGTACACATCCACTCTGCAAGTAATTTTTAAAATCCAGAAACAATATGTCAACTTTACAAATGATACTGGATTTATTATACACTTGCATTTGAAATGGCACATAAATATTATTGTTCTAAAGCACTGGTTTGGGTAAATCCTGACTATTTTTAGCAAACATGTGTCCACAAACATGTGTTAGGCACAATCAAGGACTTCAGCCTCACACAGGAAAAGAAGGGAGAGTTAAGCTCTTGCAGATAAAAACACAGGAAACATTGGCAACAGCTTTGTTCTAAATAGTTAGCTAAAAAAGCTGGTGGAGCCATGGCATAGCATTCCATGGCATGCAGCACCTTAATTTACCTGCTTACAGCTCTTTTTCAACAATCCAGGCAGGTATTTGTTATTGAAATCAAAATGACTATACACATCCCTTGCTGAATCCGGGCCCTGAGCCACCATTGCCGACAACAGCGTAAGGCACCCCCGGCTCATCCTAAAAAACAAAGCAGAGGTAAACCCACAGGTTATTTCCAGGATGATGGTTATACAAACCACCAAACCAAGAGATTAAAACTTAAAATAGAAAACAGAAGGGAAGATAAACAACCAAAATAATTATTTTAGGCAGTAATAACAGCAGCTGGAAAAGAGGGGCAAGGGAAGAAGGGAACACCTTTTTATATTCTTCCCCAAAATTAAGCCATAATGTGAGGCTGGATATTCCCTTTATAAAGTAGTTTAAAAGGGAGAAAGTGTCAAGATTAACAACTTGAAGATGACCTGTCTATGGCAGTGGGGTTGGACTAGACAACCCTTCATTATTCTATAGTTCTATGGACTCTTAAATTCATAGAGGTTTGCCATTTATTTCAGTGGGAATATGTCAGGGCCACTGCACACAAGACTGCAGACCTCCATCATCTGATCATAACACCACTACTATGAACAGATTTGTAACCTGTCCATCTTGTTTCTGTCACGAACAATGCGTAAAAAGCCATGTGATTCAAGGAGAGATCTCATCTAGACACACAGTAAAGAAAATCCCTCTGCACATCAAAGAGGTTGCACAGAAAATGCAGAGCATCTCCCATCAGGAATCTGCAGCCTCCTCTGTGCAGGTTCTAGAAGGATTTCTCCAGAACCTACAATCTTTAAACACTTAATCAGAAGTGCAGATTGTACACAGCTTCAAAATTTGCTTCCAGTACACCTACTGAAGATTCTTTGTCTAGTTAAAATGCCTGCTGCAATAAGATCAACTGCGCAGTGCAGGAAGCACAGTTGTGTCTATGAACTGGGAAAGCAGAGAAAGCTTTTCCAGTTCTGCTCAAAGACTGAAAGACGAGTCATTTGGCTTGGACAAGCCAATTTCAGTCTGTTTCTTTCTCTGCTTTCCTATTCCTCCCAGGTTTGCACTGAAACGTCCCTGGCATTTGCAACTTCTTTCCCCTTTCCACATAAGCATGAAAAATGGTTTGTTCTGGACTAGATATCACAGTTATTCAACAATCTAAAACTACCTCAGATTTAAGAGACTGAAAAAAATTACAAAAGAAAAGCCACTCTGAAAGAGAAAAATCCATTATAAACATGGAAACCTGACTCAAAAAAATACAGGGAAATAAAGCACTCAAGAGCAGCTCTTTTTGCCATCACAGAAAGACTGCCCAGTCCTGTTCTCCACAGTACATTTTACCCGACAAATCAAGCAGCATTAAAATAACAGGACTCAAGGTACCATCCATGCTAGCTCTAACTAGGACAGGCCCAACTGATGAAAACTAAAGCTTCAGGAAAGTATCCTACAGCACTGGATTGTTTGACATATCAGAGCTTCAACTTTGCAAAGACTTCCACAAGCATTCTTTTATTGCAAGTGGTAAAGGATTATTAAATAAAGGTGGATTATTAGCAATAATATTATTAGCAAGATTAATTTTGCAAGGTCTAGTACAGTCCCTCCAGATCAATTGACAGAGATTCTCCACCACAGCACCAAGAAGACTTACCTGTGATTTTCAGAATACAAAGCAGCATAGACCAGTTTCATGTAGGAATGAATCAACTTTTTGACAATGTTCATTCCGACAACAGAAAAATGTGAGAGGTCACTGGCTGTCCTCAGTAAAATGGCTTCTAGAGCTTGAAAGATTAACAGCATCTGTAGGATAAAAAAGTATGTTAATATCTGATAGTATCAGGTAAGACTTGAAATTATTAGATGAGCACAGAGTAATAAAAGCTGAGCACCATTAATAAAAAGAGTAACCCCACTCCAAGAGGAAAGCTTCTACACATGAAAGTGATGTTAACTTCTAGATTCTCTCTCAAATTAATGCTTCCTCTTTGAAAAGATAACTTCTGAGAGCACGTAGTTTGAAGGAATCAATGCTTCAAGAGACAATTGCTCCTAAGTGGATGGCGAAAAATGAAATATGCTGGAGAAAAACATCGTGGCTCTTCCAGTCTTGCAATTAATTCCTTCCAGAAGAATCCAGAAGCCATACAGCACTGGGGCTCTGCCCATTACAAACAGCACACTCCGTTAGCAAAGGGATATTGAGGAAAGACAGTCACTGAACACAACACAGGTTGTCATTGCACAGATAGAAATGATACTGAAAGGCAAAGAACAGCCAAGTGATGGTTAAAAAGCCACACAATACAATACTACATTGCAAGCGGACAGCAGTGCTGCACCAGCATTCACAGTGAAGTTATTGAACTCTCTGCTTAATCATCATATTCTGATGAAGATAAATTGTCCAGCTGAAATATGAAAAATGAGGTCAAATTTACCAGTGACTTCCTAGAAATACTGACGTATCAGGCAGCTATCTAAAAACATTTATTTTCACTACACTGCTTTTGTTTTGCTTTCTTAACTGCTTCTATTGATCCCTCTAGTCTTTTGATAACATTTAAAGAACCTTAACAGCTTGATTTGGACAGGACTATTGGTTGTGTGTGCCCTTAAATCCAGGAACATCTATGAACTGAAAAGAGCGTCTCCCACTTGGTAGGTCCTTCTACCACTGATACTTCCAGAAAAAAAACAAAACAAACTAAAACCATATTAAATTATCAGAGTTATTTACATCACAAAGCACTTATTCATAGAACCACAGAATACCCTTAATTGAAAGGGACCCACAAGGATCGTCCAGTCCAACTCCTGCTCCTGCACGGACACCCAAACAATCCCACTCTGTGGCTGAGAGCGTTGTCCAAACGCTCCTGGAGTTCTGGTAGCCTTAGGGGCTGTGACTGTTCCTTGGCGACTTTTTGTTGGTTCTTCTCCAGGGTGGATTGTAGCAGCCAGTCCCTGAATTACAAACCCCACGTCCAACTTACTTCATTTTCAGGCTTCCTTTCTCCATCGAGAAGTTTGAATATCTCAGCACACTCCATGGAAATTTTCACGTATCCTTCCACAACATCGTACACATGGGGGGATGGCAGCGTTTTGGCGACGGACACGAAGGTCTCCAGCCCTGCAAAGCCACAGCGTCAGCCGGGGCACCAGCGCCACGTGTGAGGCCCGCTCCGGGCCACCCGCGGGCGGGACCCTGAGGGGCCGGGCCGTGCCCATGTGCGCCATCCCCACCAGCAGCATCGGTGCCACCCCCGCGACGTCTCTCGGGCCGGCCGCCGGGGCCGCCTCAGCCCGGGGCCGCCTCAGCCCCCGCCTTTCC